TGTGCAATTAGTTTTGCCGTCGCTAAGGCCAGAAGAGCGAAGGAATTATGATTTACTTATGAGTGCCCTCAGAAACAGATTTTTACCAGCTAAACAAACCCAACTATTTCGCGCAGAGTTGCGAGTCAGGCGTCGTAAACCGAGAGAAAGTCTGCCGGAATTAGGACAGGCGATACGCCGGAAGGTCAGTTTTTCACATCCGACGGCTACGCTAGAACTACAGGATACTTTAGCGTGAGACGCTTTTTACGGTGCTCTCCAATCGGACAGAGAATTGGTTTGGAGAGTCCAGCAGTCTAGGTCAGTAAATTTGAAACAAACAATTCAAATAGCCGTTGAATTTGAAGCATTCATGTCTGCTAACAAACATAATTATGATCATGGTTTCTCGAGAGTTGTCGAAGGAGAGGATAAATTAACCAAGCTACAAAGAGATATAGAAGACATGAAACATATAATAAAAGATATGGACGTGGTACTGAAAGCTGAAAACAGACAATGGAGTAATCAAAGTAATACATGGAATAACCAGCGCCAACGATAGAGTGGTGGGGGTAATAAAGAAAGAGTATTTACACCAAGGAAGTTTCAACAAAACAGTCGAGCAAATGAAGACTATGTGTGTTATTGGTGTGGAGGAAAGGGTCACATAGCAAGAAACTGTGGCACACGTGGAAATAATTTCCGAGTCATCAGAGGGAAACGCAATACGAGACTCGCGTCTAATGTATTTGACAAGCCAAGTGAGGCAGGGCTTCACATTAAAGCAAACATATATGGTGTGGCGAGTCATTGTTTGTTGGATACGGGCGCGACTCTAACAATAGTATCACATGAACTTTACATGTTGATGTCGAAAGGTGATAGACCGCTTTTGCATCCCATAAAGCAGACGTTAAGAGCAGCAAATGGACAATGTTTAAAGACAAATGGAAAGGGTACATTCATGTTTAATATAGATGGCTCCATATACGAACACGAGGCCGTGGTAGCAGAAATAGGGTCACAGTGCATCATCGGTCTGGACTTCCTCCAAAACAATAATTGTACAATCGATGTAATTGGAAAAGTCCGTTAAAGTCGCGGACAAGAAATATGACGCTCACTTAGAAGGTAACATTGGCATTTGTCGAGTAAGTTTAGTTGAAACAGTTTACCTGCACGGCACGAGAAAATCGTACCGGCTTTCCTTTAGACGGGTCAAAAGAAACTATGGCTTGATACGCCAGGAATGGCACAGCCAACGGAAGTCTATTGTATAAAATGCTGTGCTCTCAGCTCATGTATTGTTAGAACCGAAGGAGGAGGAACGTAAAGTTATGATTAGAATAATGAATCCGTCTAATGATATGAAAGTTCTTCATAAAAATGTGGTGCTAGGGAATTATATCCTAGTTGATATAATGGATCAGAATTCAGGTAATACAGTAGGAGCTGAATCGACTTTAACAAACGAGCTCCCAAACCATCTTGGTAATCTCTATAAAAGAGCTCCCGATGGATTAAAAGATGATGAAGCAAATGTGATTAGAAGATTGTTACAACGGCATCATGGATTGTTTGCTAAGACCTCGGCAGATTTGGGGCAGCCGAGGCTTGTTAAACAAAAGACAAGAAGAGTGCTAATTCACCAGTTATAGAACCATCAACAGGTCCATGGGCCAGTTTCATGATCTTACAGAGAAAGACGCATACCCGTTCCGAGAGATTAGACCAAACTCTAGATTGCCTCGGTGGAGTTAAATGGTTTTCGACCCTTGAAGGTTGAAGTTAAAGACGAAGATAAACCAAAGATTGCATTTACCACATAGTATGGATTATTTCAGTTCCTAGTAATGCTGTTTGGATTGTGCAATGCCCCTCGCACATTCGAACGGTTAATAGTAAATCTTAGCTGGTATATAGTGGGAAGTTTGTCTAGTTTATCCCGAGGACTGAACATTGGTGAGCATGCGTATGTCAGACTAAAATATAAAGTTTCAAATTTAATGTGAAACATTTTGTGAATGAGGGGATGAGACCAATTGATTTTCCCCTGTTCTTCGTCCAGCTCTTGCAAAATGTGGGCGTATCTTACATGGCAACCGCTTGTTTTCTTTCTCAATAGTTAGTCGCTTACATTATTATTTTACCAGATTTGTAACGGAAAGAATGACAGTGATCCGGTTATTGGCAAGTATTGCGGTGACACTATACCACCACCCATAGTTTCTACGTCCAACTTCTTGTATATTACATTCCACACAGACTCAAGTCAAACAAGAACAGGTTTTAACGCTACATACAGTCAAATAGAGCGTAAGTTGGTAATTTGTATACTTACACAATCGAGAGTATGATCAAATAGAACGTAAGTTTGTAATTTGTATACTTGCACAGGTTTTAACGCTACATACAGTCAAATAGAGCGTAAGTTGTTATTTGTAAACTTGAGAGTATATTGTGGTCACCTCTGTCCGTTCACAATTACTTTAAATTTCTTACATATACTGAGCGCCATGGAAAACGCATCACTTTTTTTCCCCAAATATTTTATTACTAGGTGGTTGTATGTATAATATTATGCAATACTATGAACTATTGTTTCACACAATGCTCTCAAACGCAAAAAATATCGGCCCGTGTGCACAAAAAAAGAAATTGCACGAGATGCACATGAAAAACCCAATATTCACGTGCAGCATTGTGTGTGAGCCCTTTAAAAGCATGTTTTCAACTTAATGTGCAGTACATGAACTGTGAAACGTCAATCTGTCGTAATTTGTTGTTGGACGTGTGAAGGAATCGAGCTAGAGATGCCGAGACTTACTGAAAATCAACGGAATGAAGCCATGGGAATGTCCAGGGCTGGCATGTCTACACGTTCTATTGCCAGACACTTCAATTGTCATCAGTCCTCTCCGTCTTCATTAGCCCTGTATAGGAGCAGAATAGTAGGACGTTAAACCCCATTTCATTTCATTTCATCAGTCCTCTATTGTAAGGTTGGTGGAACGTGTTCGAGTTACTGGATCAACACGTGACCGTCAACGTCCTGGTCAACAACGCGTTACAACCCAGACTCAAGACCGCTACATCCGGGTCACTCATCTGCGTGACAGATTCCGCCCAGCGGTCGTCGGAAGACAAGGACCAGTAAGTGCCAACACCGCAAGACGTCGTCTAAGAGAAGTAGGACTCCGTGCACGACGACCTTATGTTGGAGCTTTCCTCAGGGATCATCACCGTCAGCGGCGTTTGATATGGGCTCAAGGACACCAGACATGGAGAAGAGTAGACTGGGAAAGTGTGCTCTTCAATGATGAGAGTCGCTTTCATCCTTATCACGCTGATGGCCGTCAATGTGTGTGGAGACGTCTTGGGGAACGTCTTGCAGACTGCTGCGTCTTCGAAACGAATCGATGGGTTGGGGGAAGTTTAATTGTTTTGTGGAGGCTTCACATTTCATCACCGGACCGATAGAACATGTCTGGGATGAGATTGGACGCCGCCTGTATCGGAGACCACAGATGCACACCATTGCTGCTTTATAAGCTGCGCTTGTCCAAGAATGGAACAATTTTCCCCAGGCCTTCTTTCAAACATTGGTAAGTTCCATGCGACTTCGCTGCACAACGTGCGTAAGAGCCCGTGGAGGACACAAGCGCTACTGACATCTGTGTAGTACTTTTGGTTTTGACCCCTCTGACTTTGTACCGTTGATTACAGATTAAACATACCGTTGATTACAGATTAAACATCCATAAGTGTACAAATGTGTTGTTATTGATGTGTTCCCATTTGAATGTGGTTCACAATAAGAAGCAAAATAAATAAGATATGTTTACAGGATCATTTTGTTATACGAAAAACTAAGTGATGCGTTTTCAATGGCGCTCAGTATATCAAAGCATTTGATAAACATTTTTTTCAAGCTTGATTTCTTTGTTTGGCAGGACCTATCGAGACACGCATTGAATGCTACATATCACGTGATGCATGCCGTCGTACAGGGGCAAAGAGTTGGGGAGCATACGCGTGACCAGTAACCGATGGGCAATAGTGGAGAATATTTCCTTTAAGCAAGGCATGTCATCGCGCCAAATGGCCTAGTTTCGATCCCAACAATATACACACCAATTGTTGGTCGCCTCTCCAACTTCGTGAATTTCCTCCGAGTCTTCCGATTTCTTCCGACTGCTAAAGTAGTTATTGAAATACAGAGAGGGAGAGAAAAATGGGTTTTAACGTCCACTCGACACAAACTAGGTCATTTCGGGACTAACGTATGGTTCAATTTTATTTCCATAATTCGCTTGCGCGTAGGGGTCTTTAGCAGTGGGAGGAAACCGGAGGACCCGGAGAAAACCCACGAGGTTGGACAGGCGACCCTACTCCTTGTCACGTACAACCGGGGAATCGAAACCACGCCAGTTGACTCAATGACAGACTTTATGACACAGCGCGCACATGCTAACCATTCAGCCATCCACCCCCCCCCCCCCTATTGAAATACAACTGTGTCATATGTTACTCCCGAAATGACCTAGTTTGTGTCGAGTGGGTAGAAGACATTGTCCAAGTGGTTATTTATTACTGGCGTTAGTTCCAGATCTATTATCTGTCAAATTATTGATAAGAATTATTGCAGTTTTCTACTTATATATTGCTCAGCGGCATGCACAGAACCGTCTACAAGCCAGTATAAAGTTATAGAAGGGAGACAACTCATGTTAGCTTGTTTTGCTAATCAATTACTACCATCCCCTGGTTACATATGGCATAAGAATTGTGTATCGATCACAACAAAATCTGTATATAGAGTAAATTCAACAGAGAGATCAGATTATGGAAATTATACTTGTTCCGTGGTTGGATATGGCGGTCCATCTACACCTATACATTAGCCCAGTTCGGAGTAGAACAGTAGGACGTTAAACCCCATTTCATTCAGTTCCACATCTGTTAATCTGTCAATTTAATGATTGTACTTTTTCTACGTGTATATTTCTCAGGGCCACACATAGAGCCATCGACAAGCCCGTACAGTGTTATACAAGGGAGACAAATCAGGCTAGCTTGTTTTCCTAATCAATTAATACCATCCATTGGTTACATATGGCATAAGAATGGTGTACAAATCACAACACAATCAGTATATAGAGTAAATTCAGCAGAGAGATCGGATAGTGGAAATTATACTTGTTCCTTTGGACCTGGTACGACATCTACACCTATTCAAGTTGATGTTTTATATCCACCTACTGTATCAACACCATCAACATATCAAGTAATAGAGTCAACTGATCTAACCTTACAGTGTACAGCTACAGCTAATCCTGGTAATATCAACTATAGATGGACTGGACCTGGTAATCTGGACTATACTAGATCTAGTTTAAATATATCTAATATAGGTAAAGACAGGTCAGGTGTTTATACATGTACAGCTACTAATAATATGAAAACCTACAACCGGACCACCAGAAACAGGTAGAGGAACTAGTACAACATCAGTTAATGTATTGTATGGACCAACAGTTACTATATCACCTGATGACGTCACTATAATATTAGAAGATTTTGACCATAGATTAACTTGTACAGTTCAGTCTAATCCTACACCAACAATCTTTACATGGTATCTACCTAATGGAACTAGTATACCTGGTGATAGACAACTGGTTATATCTAAGAGAGATCAGAGTGGTATATATAGATGTGAAGCTAATACTACACTAGTACCAACTATTGGTGATCCTATAACTAGATCTAATAGTACTACTATAAATATTACTGTACTGTGTAAGTATAACTATAAATATTACTATTGTGCTATATATATGGAAGGGTATCGCTGCCAATATTAAATGCTCTGCGACAATGTCTTTTCCATTGATTATATGTAAAAAGTACAATGTACAAAGTCCTAATACTGATAATGATAAAGTCAAAATACCTCTTAGGCAAGAGTTCAATGTAAAACGTTAAATGTTACGTGTTAAATGACAAAAGTTTTGTGGGAAAATGCTTTTTTTGACGTGTCTACATTTGACATTTCTCTCATTACATTTTACATTTGCGCTCTGCCACATCCCATTTGTCCTTCACGCTTTCTACATAGCAACTTTTGCACAGCATCAACTTTCATATGCAAATGTAGGATATCACGTGACTTATTAACATATACGGAAACCCGGCACACTATAAACCAGCACACTATAAGGATATTCACCGCACGATAACATTTACTGCACGAGTTGAGTAGCCTACTTTGATCCATTAAAAAACAACAATATATAAGCATTGTGCCCAACAAATAAATAATATATTTAAAGAGAGGAATGACTATAGTATGGACATAAGAGAATTTTTGATTAAGCCCCGTATCTTTAATTTAGTTTAGCCCCCCCACCCTTCCTTCACTTCAATTTTAACTTTAATCTTATTTTGTAACGTTAAGCAAATATGAATGTGCCAGATAATCATTTGCATATTTGAAAAGAGCAATCAGTGATACGTAACATGGTATCTGTAATTTCGTATTTAGACCAAATATTTTTACTTGAATACCCCTTTAATACTTTTTATTGTGTGCTAGGCTGATTTCCTATTAGTGTCGTGAATATCCTTGTTCTGGCTTATAGTGTGCCAGGTTTCCGTATATGCTAATAAGTCACGTGATATCCTACATTTGCATATGAAAGTTGATGATGTGCGAAACATGCTATGTTGAATGCGTGAAGGACAAATGGGATGTGGCAAAGGGCAAATGTAAAATGTAATGAGAGAAATGTAAAATGCACTCGTCAAAGAAAGCATTTTCCGACAAAACATTTGTCATTTAACACTTAACATTTGACGTTTTACATTTAAATCTTGCTTTAGAGGTAATTCTGACTTGATCATTGCCGGTATTAGGCCTTTGTACATTGTACTTTTTACATATAATCAATGGAAAAGACATATTGGCAGCGATACCCTTCCATATATATCTGATAGTACAACTATAAATATTACTGTATTGTGTATATATGATAGCACTACTATAAATATTACTGTATTGTGTAAGTATAACCATGTACGATCATCATTAACAAGCTTTATCAAGCGAAATTACTATTCCGGTAAAAAATGTTGGGGTCCCAAATAATGTTGGTCAAATGGCAAAATTTACCCCGAGAGTGGGGTAAGTTGTTCCACCGTATGAGGTAATTTGACCAATGTCACCAAGACGTATTGATATAAAAAAATTATTTCACAAAATTATAAATGTTTATTCAAGTTGTTGTTCCAGTTGGTTAAAGGACATTAAAATGATATATTGTACCATTCACATGCAACTTGCTCATGCATTAAGGACCCCTACACAAAATGGTTGACGAGGCAATGGATTCAGTAGCGCTGAATTGTCGTTTATCAGAGTATTGAAAATCTTAAAAATAAACGCATCGTTATAGGCTTAATAAGCGTTTTATATATATCTACTGAATACAAGGTACCATAATAACATCAGATAAAATCAACCGGGTAAGTTCAACTTCCCCCTTCGAAAATTGCACAACTTTCCCCGAGGTGAATTTTACAATTAAGGAGACCTCAGCATTTTCACACTTCAAAACAAAACATGCTAGAATTACAACCATACATAGTGGTTATCATTTGCCAATTAGTCTTTCAAGGAAGTCAACTCGGTTAATGAAATAGAAAACAAGAAATCCGCTTTGGGGTTAAAAATTAGGATTTTCGTACGTAGCTCCTTTGTTCTTGATGAAATTGACTTGTCCCTTACACCAATAACTATCATTTACTACTATTGAATAGATGGTCCCACCATTCGTGTACCTTTACTTATACAGGCTTGGGAGGGCGTGGCTTAACTGAAACCCCGAAGATTCACTTACCCCCCTTCTACCCTAGCTGTGCACATGGTAACTGTATCATCTAACTAGCCGTTATATCTTTTTTCTTTATTTGTTAGTCGGTCCCATGGTAACTGTATCAGTTGATTCTGTAACTAAAACAGAGAATGATGACCTTCAGTTGATCTGTACCGTTGAATCAAATCCACCACCAACAACGTTTAAATGGTATAAACCAGACGGTAGTAGTGTTGATGTATCTTCTAATGGACGACTTGATATAACTAGAATTACCAGGAATCAGGGTGGTATATATAGATGTGAAGCTACTACTACTCTAGTACCAACTGATGGTAGTCCTATAACTAGATCTCATAATAAAACTATAGATATTACTGTACTGTGTAAGTATAAATAGATCTCACAATAAAACTATATATATTCCTGTACTGTGTAAGTGTACCTAGATCTGATAGTACTACCATATATTACTGTACTGTGTAAGTATACCTAGTGTACCTAGATCTGATAGTACTACCATATATTACTGTACTGTGTAAGTATAACTATATCTGATAGCACTACTATTACTATTACTGTAACAATGAATCTCGAAATGAAGATATCAATGTTTGTTTTATTTACAGTAGTGACTTCGCCATCATCAGCACTAACAACAGGTTTAATAGCTGGAGTTGTTGTAGCCGTTTTGATTATTATTATTATTATTACCGGAGTAGTTGTACTGGTACGCAAGTTGAGGAAAAGAGCGAATGACGAAGGTTTGTTTTATTTAACGTTAAAGAAGTGCAGGGTAAGGACCCATTGCATTATAGAGGTCTAGGTTTGGATGTAGTGATGGTAGTATTCAGATGTATGAAAGTGGGTTACGGGTCAGTTTTATTAAAGGCTCAATACCACTCTTGTTGTAACTGAATAATATGTCCCAATCTTCATTCTGGTCAAAAAAATGTACTATTTTACAATATTCCAATTAATTGATGATACAAATTTCATCTTAACACACCTAATTTAAAAAATTGGAAAAATTCAACTTAATGATTTGAAAAGCCTAACGTAAACCTTTTCAAATGTGACTTGGATTTAAAAATATTTTCGAACCCTCTGGTCAAGTAAAATAGGATGTAATGGATAATTTACACAACAGGTAGGACACTAACACATCTAGTACTTAGAATAAGGCTATTTTTTATTTTCTGGAGCTGTCAAGCCAGCAAGAGTGTTATTGTCCCTTTAAAGGGGTTAGGAATCAGTTTTATTAAAGGGAGAGGGGTAGCAATCAGTTATATTAAATGGGGGTAGGAATCAGTTATATTAAAGGGGGGTAGAAATCAGTTTTATTAAAGGGGGTAGGAATCAGTTATATTAAAGGGGGATAGGAATCAGTTTTACTAAAGGGGGTAGGAATCAGTTTTATTAAAGTGGGGTAGGAATCAGTTTTATTAAAGTGGGGTAGGAATCAGTTTTATTTAAGATGGGGAGGAGGGGGGTAGGAATCTGTTTTATTAGAGTGGGGTATGAATCAGTTTTATTAAAGTGGAGGGGGGGGGTAGGAATCAGTTTTATTAAAGTGGGGTAGAAATCAGTTTTATTTAAAGGGAGGGGGTAGCAATCTGTTTAATTAAAGGGAGGGTAGGGACCAGTTATATTAAAAGGGGGTAGGAATCAGTTTTATTAAAAGGGGATAGGAATAAGTTTTATTAAAGTGGGGTAGGAATCAGTTTTATTAATTTTGGTAGGAATCGGTTTTATAAAAGGGGCTAGCAATCGAATGTATTAAGTGAGGATAGGGATCAGTTGTATTTAAAGGAGATAATGCTCAGATGTATTACAGAAAAGCCATAATCGTTATGCTGGATGATATTTAGAAACTGAAAATGGATCAGTGTAACCAACAACCAAGTTACACGACTCGCCAGCCGTAGATCACTGATGATACCTACATACACATTCCCTTGCAATCAGGAGTCACGGTAGCCCAGTAAGTAAGACGCGGGACGGTTAACCGACTGGCTCTTCCCTCTGTCAGTAGTATGCAGGGAACTCGTGTACATATTGACGTGGAGTTGGAATTTGATGAAGAGTTATCTGATCAAAATGAACTGCATGGCGTTTTACCGTCTTCATTATCCCATATATTATATATTGTAGGGGAATCATCAACATACGCCGGTTTAGATATGGGTACAAGAACAGCTACTAGTGTAAATGATCCAACCTACCAAAGTTTACAACATTTTAACCTTGTACCATCATCTTCAGCTGATATCCCAAGTTTAGAACACTATGATAATCAGCCACCATCTTGTTCAGAAGCCCAATCTGGTGGACCTGGAATCTATGAAAATCTGACATCATTTGGAAATAGCCAGAGCCATTTAAACCGAGAAGAGCCAAGGGCTGCAATAGATAACAATACCGTTGGCAGTAAGTTCACGAATTCGTGTCCTTTGAGTTCTATCCTGTTCCGTATTCCTTTAATGACGAGTTAGAACTTTTGGGGTACTCACCGGTTGGTACAAAATAAATTTTAAATGTACAATTACATCGGACATGTTCAAAATTAAATGTTGTGCAAAATTCGCGGAAACACACTGTTGATAAATACTTTACTCTAAGGTGGGAGATAGGTAGCTCAGTGATTAGGAGGCCCAGTGTTCGATCTCTGCGTTTGCCATGACTTTTCCAACGTGGTTCCACCTGGTCAGTGGTGTAGGACGGGGATCTGGCAGGGAACAACGTATAGTCGTTCAGATAGGAACCTGAGATCCCGTGTTCTCAATGACGTGCACGTAAAATAACAACTGGAATTCGAAATAAGAGTAGACCACAGCACCGCTGTCCGGGTGAAATTTTCCCCATGCCCTTCTTCATTAGCCCAGTAGGAGCAGAAAAGTAGGGCGTTAAACAACATTTCTTTTCTGTAAGTTGGTCAGCGTTTGATTTTGTTTTATATAGTTTACATGTCATATTGATGACGGTTTTTCAAAACGGACAAGTACCGGATTTTTTGCTTAGCAGTAACTTAGTTCGGTTTATTTTTTCAGATATTGAAAATCTGTACGAAAACATACAGATGACCAATTCTTGAGCTTTGGCTTGACCCAGAAAGAAATGCAATCCAACTCTACTTGCTAGGCTGCAAATTACATAGGAGTCAGTGTGGATTGTGACGGTACGACGATTCTCCCAGGGAATGCTTGTAGAATATATTTTCATAATTTTCATTCATAAATTTTAATCATTTTATTACATACTGAATATTGTCATAGTTTCTATTGATTATCTCTTGGGGGTTGGATGGCAGAATTGTAAGCACGTGCGCGCTATATCATAAGGCCTGTCATTGAGTCAACTGGCCTGGTTTCGAATCCCCGGTTGTACGTGACAAGGAGTAGGGTTGCCTGCCCAACCTACGCTAAAGACCCCTACGCACAAGAAAATTCTAGAAATAAAACTGAAACATATGTTAGTCCCGAAATGACCTAGATTGTGTCGAGTGGACGTTAAACCCGCTCTCTCTGTCACTCTCTCTCTCTCTCTCTCTCTCAACGCGATAGGTTTCATAAAAATATGTTACATGTCACGTCACACTCACTTGTTTTGTCTGTCTGACTGATAAATTTCAAAACAATATGTTACACGTCACAATAACTTGTTTTGTCTGCAGGACTGATAAATTTCAAATCAAAATGTTGCACACGATGCAGTGGCTTTTTATAAACATAAACAATGTCTTGGATATCAAACACACAGTATTCCAGGTTCTTCTAGCCCAACACGTGAGTTATGTTATGATTTTATTTTCGTTAAACATACATTATGCAAGAGCTAAATCTGTCTATTTCAGGTCTTTCTTTAGGCCAGAAATGTTATCTAAATTATTAATTAGACATTAATTAACCTATCCAGGCCATAATCAACTCTAGATGGCAGGGCTAGCCTGCGATCTTTAGTGGATTGTAAGCCGATTTACGGCATAACTTTCCTTCTCTATTAAACGATTAAATGGATAATCGAGACTATGCTGTTTATCGTACTGACTTTCGTAATGATGACCGAGGCTTATGGGAATTTCAGTCGCTTAGTTCTGGGTTCATAGTGGTTCAATTTGAATGAAATTTACACCAAATTGCCTTTGCATTATCTAGTTTTTAACTATTATAGTGAGAACTGCCAACTCGTTACCGAATCTCCCATAATGTATCTTTAAGGTTGGGTGATCCAATTGTCTAACCTGTGGTCTTAAGAGAAAAGGTCTGTCTAACCTCGTACGTTTGCCCAACACCCTCTCCCTCCCTCCCCCTGTCACTGCTATTGTATTAGTGAAATAGCTTTGTAACATAGATTTCGACCGATCAAGATTATATCAGGACGGGACAGTCGGTAATACACATAGGTTTCGACCGATCAAGCTTCTGTTAGGGCGGAAACCTTTTACTCTATACTACCCAATACCACTACCCGTACTAACTCAATATTGTGAAAATCTAACAGTATATTTTAATTTTATATATATAAAAAGCAAATTGGGTTAATTTGTGAAAAACTTTAATAAAAAAATGTACAGCAAAAATGATGGCCAATGTCTCAATGTTCCAGTTACTACCCTTGATCACCGGATACTAACTAATATTAACCCAAACTATCAGGAATCAATACAGATATTTGGTCATATTTGGCTGGACTTTCAGACGCTTGGCATACAGGGTACTGATACTATAAATAGATTTTTCCAGTTTTACGTAAAAAAATGTTGCTTTTCCGCTAATAAATTCATTTTTTTTTTTAAATATATATAAAATTGAAGTATTATGCTAGTTGTTCACAATAATACCGTAGTATGTGGTGGAATTTGGTAATATTTAATTGGTAGTGGGTAAATCGTTCTACCGCTTCTATCATATCGTTAGATTAAAAAAGCCAAACGCCCTTTGCCCTACCCCTAACCCAAGTCAAACAGGAAACCTGTAATAGATAAAGAATTGATGAATGATAATATTTTATTTTTGATTGACTGTAGAGAAGACTTTTTAATCAATAGGATAATGAATAATAATAAAATATTAAGAATGAAAAGCGTTTGCTTAGCAGTTAAAGAGTTTTTGGATACAATCGACTACGAACCTACGCCTATAGTAAGAAAACAAAGCGTGTTTGATATTATTAATAACAACTGTATAAATATATATAAAAAATCACTAGATAAGATTAAAGCAAAAGACATTTATTCAATACGAGTAGATTCTAAATACAGTAAACCATTAGCAATAAGTAAATGGGAAGAAGAGAATAGTTTTATACTTGAAGAACGTGAAACCTCATGTATATTCAATTTGGTCTATAAAACGAGCACTGATACTAGATTACAAAATTTTCAATTTAAATACCTCCATAAAATTATATATACAAACGACCGTTTATTTAAAGTCCAATTAAAGGAGTCTTCATTGTGCGATTTTTGTTATTCAAATATAGAAACCCCGGAACACCTTTTTATATACTGCAATTACGCCCAGGTAATATGGAATGATTTACATGAAATCTTCTCAACTAATGACATTTCATTACAATTACAACTTACGAACATTCATTTCGGTTTTCTGAAAGAAACAGTTTTTAAATCATATCGTGAATTCTTATTTGTAATTCATTTAATATTTTTAACAAAATACTACCTCTACAAATCGAAAATAGAAAATATCAGACCGACAATTATTAATTATCGAAACTACCTAAAAGGTAAACAACAGATAGAAAATGAATTAAACGAAACCGTAGAAAATAAATGGGATTATACCATATGAATATTATGCATACCTCTAGTATTCCATTCCTAGTATTCCAACCCCTTAATACCTGTAGCTATCTCTGTATTTTTTTGTTTTTTTGTTTAGTTTTTTTATTAGATTTTATTTTCTTTGTGAATATATTTGTTCTACTCAATGTAATATAGTATAGCCTTCAACATTAAACCGACGCTATCTGTATGATGCTACACACTGTGATTGTAATATGTGAACTATGTACTATGCTGTTATTGATTATTTGAAATAAAGATTTAAAAAAAAAAAAAAAAAAAAAAAAAAAAGTCAGACAGGAAAGACGTAAGACGAGTCTGACGTATTAAAACAGACTGTCCAGTCTATTGACACGCCGAGCACTGTGGGACAGCTCCTTCAACTTCCAGCGCATATTAAAAGATTGTGGGTCTCCTGAATAATGTAGCAGACTGACACTGTCTGTTAAGGGACAACCAATACAACTATTTCAAATAATTACTATTTTATTTTAACCTGTTTTGACAATCTAAATATCTAAAATAAAATACATATACATGTACAATGAAATACAACACAGTTTAAATAAATTAAAATATTTACATACTATTTGTGAAACCCGTACCAAAGATGTTTTTGCTATATTTATACTGCAAGACAACCAACAGATAGCCTTAATTGTTGTTGCGATAGTCCTACTGCAATAACTATTGGCTTGATAACTCTACTGCAATGTGACCAGGTAGTGCTATGAGATAATTTACTGGGCGGATCGAGTCTCGCTTGTACTGAACTGTCACTACACCTGGTTACCCAGTCACAGTTTTCTCAAATGCCCAAGAATATTTGATTAAAATACTTTTTATTGCTTGTGTTTCTGCCATAACTTTATAAACAAACAAAAAATATCAATATAAAATCTTTAGATAGAAATTTTATATAAAATGCAAAATTTTTGTATCTTTTATAGAACTGAACATTTTTTTTTACATTCCTAATATATGTTTTCACCGAAATAACATAAAACGAAAGTAAAAACAAATTGTGTTTTTTTCTAAGTAATTTTAATGTATATTTTTTGATCAGTGATCGTTTTTATTTTAAATTAATCAGGGGTCTTTAGCAGTGGGTGGAAACCGGAGAATTAAACTCCATTTCATTAATAAAATAAATCAGCAGAAAGCTAGGGAATTAAACTCCATTTCATTAATAAAATTACCAGGTGTGGATTATATACAAACTAGAACACAAATAAACAGCGAGATTCACCTGAAAGCACGTGCCAAGAACGATAACCCGTAATAACTTGTTGAATATCACACATATTTTAAGGTTAAACCTTGACACTAATATTGGCCAATTCACTGTCAATCTTAATTTTAAATATTATAAATATTGGTGATCGGCACATTAAAGATGCGTAATGTAAGAGCTACATCTGCCTTTTGCACGTGTATTCTGGATTCAAATGTTATATAATTATTTTTTAGACAATTATAATCAATTATCAGGACCATCGGTGGTCGAGATAATCATTGGATTAGAACAACCGTGCCATTTAATAACGTTAAAATTAAATGGATAATCGAGACTTTGTTTATAATCGTAGCAATGGTACTAGACAATCTAGATTATTTAGTCTTAATATTATCAAAACTTCAAACATTCATTACTTTATTCCAATTAAAAATAAATTGGCTGCAATTTTCAATATATTCATTTGATCTATTTTAGAGCTATTATAGCAAGAACTATCAGCTCTTTATCTAAATCTTACATGATGCATCTTTATCGGAGAATAACCTTAACCTTTAATGTATGCTCCATAAAATACTGGCAGTTTAGTATCTTCTCTGTTAATGCGTAAAATGCGACATTCACAGCGCATTGGTTTCTTAAGTTACGGTATTTGTTCATTATTTACAGATCGTTCAAATAAAAATGGACGGACTATTGGTGTTATAAGACAAAATGCATGCACATGAAATGATATGAGAGGTATATCACGCTTATTCTTAAATTACAAATAAATTAAAATCGTATATTGAATGCCATCTTATTATTACACAATAAATTAAAAACGTATATCAAATCATTATGTACAATCTTATTAAAACACAAATCATATTTCGTTTCGCTTTATATAGTTCAAAATTTCTTTTTAATTGTATAATAAAAAAACGAAACGAAATATAGCTCCTATTTTGTTTCCCATTTTGTATCTCAAATTACGTTTTGTTTGAAAAAAAAACCGACTAGAAATATAAATCTGTATTTTAATCAGATTTGCTTACGTTCCAATGTCCTGAAATTAATAATAATAAATACACAATCAAACGTAAAGTATTGATGATATGTCTGATATCATTAAACTGGAACCCTAATAATTATTTACCCTAGAGTAGATAAAACTCGGGGTATATTTGGTGGTCCAGTAAAAAAAGGAGTACTATGTTACTATGTACAACTTGAGTATAAGACTAGAAAAGCCAACAGACGCTTGCAACGTGGAAATCTCTATGAAAAATACCATACATTAAGTTGTGACTAAGTATACAGGCTAAAGTATATTACAGCCATTTTCAGAAGCGATATTGTCAAATAACTGGTCTGAAACCGATGCTCTAATTCAGGGGATATAACTCGTCTGAAACAGATTCTCTCAGGTGATGATATTTTCCATGTTGCCACGCCTGTGGAGAAGCCTAATCGAAAACGTCACTCCGTGCCCTATGCATTCCCACTTAAATTACAAGATGTCATTTCAATAATTTAAAATACAAGATGAGTTAAAAATAGTCTTGTGTCGGGTAGAAATTTTAGAGTTTGCGTCTTTAGATCCTAAATTCTACAGCACGACCAGATGCTTCTACTGCTATAGTCTTCCACAACCTTCAGTTTACGAGTGTAGGTCTCCCTTCTTTCATCTAATCACAATGTCTAGGTTTTCAACTCATATAAGTCCCGGTACTAGCTGACAAGCTAGGTAGTATAAATGAACCGTATTGGCTGCTAACGAAACCACGGTTAAACACGCACTAGCTCCGTGACATCTTCGGAACGTACGATAAGAATTCACATATTCCGGATTTTTCTTCAACTCAGGGACGTTTGCGTAGCCGACGATGTCACCCACACCGGCCTCGACTTCCATCTGAAATGTTTTCAACATGGCGCTGACTATAAGTGGAGACAGAATAATGGAGTTGACGGCTGCTGACATAAAACCAGCTGACAGGGCGTAGATCTGTATAAGAAAAAAACAGGAAACATTTAAAAAAAAATATATTTGGACAGCAAAACATTATGTTGAATACAGATTCGGGGTATTATCCCTGGCAACATGGGAGCCGTGGTGGCTCAGCGTTTAAGGAGCTAGCTTGAAGGTATCAGGTTCGTTCCAGGTGTTGACCGAGAAAGTTCCTCGTGATTTCCCGGTGTGGTTTCTCGTTGTGATGCAGGACGGGGGGAGGGGGTTGACGTGGTCAGCTGTTTAGTCGTTCAGATGGGACAAAAATGCGAGGCCCCGTGTACACATTGGCATGCACGTTAAAGAACCCTTGACAGTTGGAATTCAATAAACGAGTAGGTCATATCGACGCTGCCTGGGCAAAATCTCCCTCATAGCACAATGACAATGTATGGCATATGCCCGTCTTCATTAGCCCGGTCGTAACAGTACAGCAGGACGTTAAACCCCATTGATTTCATTTCTTCAGCCTCGGCCCAGTACCACACAGACGACTTTGACTCTCAGCTATAGCTGCGCAACTACAAAGAGCTGCCACTGAATTCTTACTTAAACATAAAAATGACAAACTCACCTCGACGTATTGCGAATAACTCCACGTGTCTACTGGATGACGTAGAATATGTGTTGCCATGACAATAGCTGACGTAAGGAGACACCAGAAAAAGAACATCGGAAAGAGTCGTTTTTGAACCTGACCAAACATCCTGCGGGGTAAACTACAAAACATAGTGATACCTGAAACATGAAAATAAAAATACAGTAGATTTTTAAAATGGTCGAGTACTAAAACTAGCTCGGTAAAATAATGAACCTAAGTATAAGTTTTTATTTGGATGTCTAAAGATACCACAAAACCTACGTAGGCTACAATTTAATGCGTGGCAGATTTAACAATTAGGTATTTTCGCTTGTAGGCTTCTCGCAAAATCTACATGGTGTTGCCACTTACTATTAACATGGCGCCGTCACAACAAAACACTGATTTATTTTTAGACCGTGGGCTGGAAGGTGCATCTTCCTAAAAGAAAACTTGGGACAAGATAAAGGTGAATCTATGCTTACCAGCGACAAGAGTTACCCACAACTGGGCGCCATATTGAGCGGCGAATGTTCCAAGATGGAGTAAAGTCAGGAAGGTGGATGTAGGCTCTACGCGCCTTCTACCAGGAAACAGAATAAAACTCAGGAATATAACCATCACCATGACAGCTAAATACTGAATCTGACCAACTCTAAAATTAAAATACACAATAATTAATATAAAGTTACGAATTGGTCTATTTCTAAAACCTATCAATGAGCATAGAATTTATGTCTGATAGACATCAAAGGGCGTAATTGTGCTGGGGTTCATGAAACGTCCTTCTCGGTATTTTCTGGTGCGATTCCCCTTGTCAGTGTTGCAGGACGGATGGCTTGACAGTGACACGGTTCACATTGGCGTGCACGTAAAACAAGCGTTGGCAGCTGGAATTCCAAATAAGCCTTAGCCCTGCTTTATGGGCACAATGTCCCGGGAATAACACTTTATACCGTAGGCTACCCTCGTCTTCATTAGCCCAGTCGCCGCAGAAAAAATAGATCGTTAAACCCCATTCCTCCCCCAGTTATAAAAAACATCGTGATTTATAATTAACCCCATGTTTGTGCTAGATCACTGGACTCTTTGCATCGTTTTTAATATTGTGTCCTTGTCGTTTCACCCTGTGCTGTACAACCATATATTTAGAGTTGACGGAGCCCAGTAAGAGGCTTGTGCCAGATCGCTGGACTCTTTGTTCCTATGGAGTCCTTGTCGTCTGACTCTGTGTTATACAACTATACGTGGTGACTACTATATATTTAGTGTTGACGGAGCCCTGGAGGATGATTGTGCCAGATCGCTGGGCTAGTTATTAACCTTGGTTTCACCCCGTGTTGTATAACTATACATGGTGACAAGTAGGATAATATCAGATATAAAACTAATATAGAAGCTGATATATCAACATCTGTTAATCAAATCAATGTCACAACTATATATAATTATAGTATAATATAACCAACAACATGGCAATAAAATTATATACAATCCATAGATTATTGATCCAAGTTCTTTCATATCCTACCATAATAAACCTTAAAGTACATTTAAAATTGGAGCCACGGTGGTTAAGTGGGTAAGGCGCTGGTTCGCTAGCCTGGAGGTCAAGTGTTCGATATCCCTGCATTGACCGAGAAAGTTCATTGGGATTTTCCAACGTGGTTTCCCCTTGTCAGTGATGCAGGGCGGAGGGCCTGACAAGGACAGCTGTCTAGTCCTTGTCAGTGGTGCAGGACGAACCGCATGTACACATTGGCATACACGTAAATGTGTACACAGGACCTCGGTTTTCCATCCCATCAGAAAAACTTACATAACCATGACATATTAAAATTCGAAAATAAAATTTACAATTTAAAAGTAATTTACTCACCTTATTTTTTCCATGTTTAAAACCGCCATGATGAGTTTCAACATCAACCAATTGGTGAAATTTTTAATAAGTCTTCGTATAACAAATTGTATCGTCTGCTTCTTCTCCGCACGTGGCTGTATATTTATAGCATCACTTTTACAAGGATTCGTTTTCATTGGCTATTGATGACGACTTGCCTCCCCGTCCAGCCAATCAGATAGTGGGAAATGTGACGTAATAAAAGAAGGCAGGGTAAAAATTGAACGCAGACTCTGACGGGTATACGTGACGGATATCATGGTGTCGATTGATTCAGTTATAGTACAACTCTTTTGTAAATAGAAACACACCACCACTCGACACATTACGTGTACATCAAAGAATCATTTCACCTATATATGTGTATGATTGTCTAAACATTGAGTATGAAAGTCCATGTGTGTTGGGATGATGACATCGGGAGCCCTCGGCTATAAATGCTAGAAGCCTCTAGTGTAATCTTGTAAGATCAATATACGGTGATACATGCTGCTACAGTACTGATATTGAATTGATTAGGTACGAGGGAGTGCATGTAAATAATACAAGGGTTACTCGGAGCATGTGAACATGTTGATTTCCGCAGTCGATCTTTTGTCACCAGACCATTCCCTTTATTTAAAATAAAAAAATGTTCCAGACTGCATGCATTTAAGCATATACTTGTCGACGAGATTTTATTGTGCATCTTCAGCTGAACAATGCGGTTTGGAGATGAAATTGGGTTTTACGACCTACTTGTCTGCACCGCCCGCGATAAAAAAAAGACGGTCATACGATATGCAGTGTGCTATGAGGAAACACTTTGTCCGTGCGGGCCCCTGAACTGTGGAATAAGCTCCCACTTACTCTCAGAAGTTCTACCTCTTTATCGAGTTTTAAATCGCAATTGAAAACACTTTTATTTAAACAAGCTTTTGATTTACAGATTTATTTTTCCTTTTTTAATTTTATACAATTATTATAGATTTTTAAACGTATGTTTTAATTTTTTTATGTAATGTATATTGTACAGCGCATCTGAACACATTTTGTGAAAGCGTGCGCTATATAAATGATGATAATAATAATAATAATAATAATAATAATAATACAGAAGCAGTACAGCCCGTTCTTATTTCGGTTCGAACTGTTCGGTGTTCTTTTACATCCATATCAACGTGTACACGGGACCTCGGATTTTTTCCCAGCCGCATGAAACCATACAGAGCAACAAGATGAAAGGGGGTACATTCTACAAAAACTGTTGTTGCCCTGTATGGTTTCATGAACTGTTGTTATAGTTTTTCTGTATACTGTATATACATGTTTATAGACCTCATAATTTTTGTATTACTGTATTAGCTTGATAACGTCGAGAGAATACTCTTCGAAACGTCGCCCAAATAAATAAGTAGCTGTTTTTGCATAAGTATGTGTTTTTGTGTATTGCTCCACAAGACGACTATTAAGATATAGATAAAAAAGTATTTGGAGCTTCTCTTCTTCGGACTTTTTTTGTCCAATCCATACGACTACGCTAATCTTATTTGCGAAACAAATTAATACAAAAAAATAATAAAATATATGAGTTACATTTTATTCAAGCCTTGACTGTAAATAAATGAAATGAAATGGAATTGGGTTTAACGTCCTACTGTTCTGCTCCTAAACTGGGTTAATGAAGACGGGCATACGCCATACAGTGTGCTATGAGGGAAATTTTGCCCGGGCAGCGGCACTACGGTCTACTCTTATATCGAATTCCAACTGCCAAGGGATCTTTTACGTGCACGCCAATATGTACACGGGACCTCGGTTTTCGTCACATCCGAACGACTAGACAGCTGCCCTTGTCAGGCCATCCGTTCTGCATCGCTGACAATGGGAAACCACGCCGGAAAATCTGCATGAACTTTCTCGGCCAATGCAGGGATTAAACACCCGACCTGGTTGTAAATAACTAGAATATTGTAACAAGTTGAATATCTATACGAATACCATTCTCAGTATTTTTAAAGATATGATGAATTAAAAATTTCGCAACATTCGCTGGTGGATGTCTTGTGGTTTAACGCGTACGCATGGCATCGCAAAGTCTGTCATTGAGTCAAGTGGCGTGGTGTAGATTCACCGCTTGAACGTGGCTAGGAGTAAGGTCAACCCTCGTGGGTTTTCTCCGGGTCCTTCAATCCCCCCCCCACTGGTAAAGACCCCATGGCGTCGCGAATTATTGAAATATATAATTGAACCATATGTTAGTCCCGAAATGATCTAGTTTGTGTCGAATGGACGTTGAACCCCATTTCTTCTCTCGCTCTCCCGATCCCCCACTCTCTCCTTCCCCCTCCCCTCCGTAGACCTTATAAACAAGTCAGTGTCACATATAACTGTTAATAAAACGTATTTAATGCGAATTAATATATGTCGAGGCATAGGCTGCCGTTGATATCTTGACTTTGTTTGCTTAAGCTATCTATTTGAGTTTATTTAAAGTTGGTTTGAGTCGTGAAAAATTAGATATTATCCGTGAAATATTTGTTATTGTCCGTGGAATATTAGATATTTTCCGTGAAATATTAGATATTTTCAGTGAAATATTAGATATTTTCAGTAAAAATTATATATTTTCAGTAAAAATTAGATATTATCCGTGAAATTTTAGATATTTTCCGTTACAAATTATATATTTTTCGTTACAAATTAGATATTATCCGTGACATATTAGATATTTCCAGTTAAATATTAGATTTTATCCGTGAAATATTAGATATTATCCGTGAAATATTAGATATTTTCAGTTATATATTAGATATTGTCAGTGAAAAATTAGATATTGTCAGTGAAAAATTAGATATTTTCAGTGAAAAATTAGATATTATCCGTGAAATATTTTATATTTTTCGTTACAAATTAGATATTATCCGTGAAATATTAGATATTTCCAGTTAAATATTAGATATTATCCGTGAAATATTAGATATTATCCGTGAAATATTATATATTTTCAGTTATATATTAGATATTGTCAGAAAAATACAAATGACAACCATTGACCTTCAGTTTAATTTTAAGTTGAGTTAGTTACTACGTCGACAATTGACTTTGAATCATCAAGTTATTCTAGTGACGTTTAATTACTAGTTAACAATTAGGTTAAGTGTGACATAGATTCGAGCTGTAAACATCTTTAATTGGAGCAGGAAATAATTAATTATGGAAAATCTAGAAATTGCCTTTAGAAATATGATATTATCGTCACTTATATAGGGTGGATACTCATTTGAAATTGTAATTATTCGTTTTTTGAAATGTTATATGCTTTTGATTTACTTTTTTCAATTACGTGAAATGTTTGACGTATGTCGTCGATTTCACGCCTAAGTTGAAACGGGAATAAGTAGCTGTCAGAGCTGGCGTTATTGACAGCGTAACAGGTGTCAATTACTATTTGAAAATTAAATAAAATGGGGTTTAACATCCTACTGTTCTGATCCAACCGGGATAATGAAGACGGGCATACACCATACAGTGTCCTACGAGGGAAATAATTATTTTGCTCGGGCAGCGGCACTATGGCCTACTCTTATATCGAATTCCAACTGTCAAGTGATCTTTTACGTGCACGTCAATGTGTACGCGGGACCTCGATTTTTCGTCTCATCCGAACTATTAGATAGCTGTCCTTGTCCGGCCCCCCTTCCTGCTCCACTGACAAGGGTAAATCACGTTGGAAAATCCCAATAAATTTTCTCGGGAATTACTAATTGATCTATTCCACCTATTATTAAATAAAATAAAATGAAACGGTATTTAATGTTTTACTTTCATGGGTCGAATGAAGACGGGCTAATAAATATTATTAAATGGAATGAAATGAAATTAAATGGAGTTTAATATATAACTTATATTCGTCGAATGAAGGGGGCCATAAGCCATGCTGTTTTCCAGGAGGAAAATTGGTTCTCGGACAATGGCGTTACCAAAGAGTAATTTTTACTCCGTGGCGTTACGCCGCACAAAGGCCGTAAATAACAATAAATCAATTTATATAAATAATTTGTTTCTTGTCTTTTCCTAACACTTATAAAACGACTCTAAAAATCATATTATATTTGTTGAGGCAACCCTCAATAAATAATGTATTTCGTTTATTTTCCTTTGATAAGTCAAATATCAATAACTAATGGATTCTAATAATTACATTATATTTGTTGAGGCAAAGAGGAACTTGTTGAAACGTAGTATGAAATAAAATCAGTGATTGTTTTCCATATAAATTTGTTTTTTTATATAATAAATAATTTGTTTCGTTTCTTTTCCTTTGATCAGTCAAATATCAATAACCAAAAAATTTTTAATTGATTCTAAAAATTACATTATATTTGTTGAGGCAACCCTCAATAAATAATTTGTTTCGTTTCCTTTCCTTTGATAAGTCAAATATCAATAACGAAAAAAAAATTAAATTGATTCTAAAAATTACATTATATTTGCTGAGGCGACCCTTTTATCATTTGACCGTCTTTTTATCTACAGATACGTGAAATATTTCATGTAAAGTATTACATGATTACTGTGATGTAATAAATTACTCATGTTCTAAGCGGATTGGTTATTGATTAAGGATAGGAACTATAAATAGAACGATCCTACTGAGGCGCAGTCTGCATAATAAACAGGATATGCAATAAAGGAACTTTACGGAGAATGGAAAAAAAATACTGAACATGTATTTCATAATGCAAGTTGTAATACATGCTAATCCGTGAGTAGTCGTCACACCCCAAAATAAAGTTCAAAATTAAAACCTAAGTGGGTAAGACGCTGGCTCGCTAGTCTGGAGGTCGCGTGTTCGATCCCTGCATTTTCCGACGTGATTTCTCCTTGTCAGTGGTGCAAGACGAAGGGCCTGACAAGGACAGCTGTCTAGTCGTTCGGATGGGACGAAAAACCAAGGTCCCGTGTATACATTGGCGTACACGTAAAAGGTCCCTTGACAGTTGGAATTCCTTATAAGAGGCCGTAGTGCCGCTGTCCGGGCAAAGATTCCCTCAGCACACTGTATGGCGTATGCCCGTCTTCATTATC